TTCTAGTTCTTACGTGTGTAGAAACCCTTCCATCTCATTTGATTCCGACTTTTCTTTCTCTTACAGCTCCAGGCTTACACCCCGTCCCCGGCGGAGTGTTCCCAGTACCACCTGCAGCAGTTGTTTTAATGAAACTTCTCCCTCCTCCTATTTGTTTCCAGGTTTGTTCACTGTTTTCATGAGAGATATTTGCTCTATGGGTAATGACAGTAATTGTGTGCTTTTCCTCTTGTATCATGGGAAATATAAAGTAGGGCTCTTTTAACTTGTCAGATTATTGGGGATTAAATTTTCTTTGTGTCAAAATAGGGTCCTTTTGTACAAGTGGATGAACTGATGGAAATTTTCCGAAGATGCAAGATACCAAATAGTAAGTGATGAGGCTCCATTTTTAGAGTGGAATTTACATTGTTGTCTCCTAGGCAGGAGAGATTGTCATCCTTTGCCACTGAAGTTTCCAAAACCAGCTAGCCATTTTGCAGAAATACAATAAAACCTAGGAGGGATCCAAACCCTCTATGTACAGAGAGGCCTATTCATATTCTAATTCTACTAAGAAAAACGTCACCAAAAGCTTATCTTTTCTATTCATGTGAACACACACTCAGATGTGGCTTACGAAAATATGTTTAACAGCAGCCTTTTTGTCTTTTCCTTTAACTATTTCGTATCAGTAGCACTAGCCCATGCTTTGCTAATAGTAGGCTACAAAATTAACTAAGTCTTCAAAGTAGTACATACATATTCCTTCGTAGCAGCGTACTTTTAAACGTCCTCCAACGGTCCTTTATGTTTTGCTCCAACAGCAGTTGAAGAAGCTGTGAGAATCATTACTGGAGGAGCCCCGGAGCTGGCTGTGGAAGGCAACGGCCCGGTGGAAAGTAATGCAGTACTCACCAAGGCTGTCAAAAGGCCCAACGAGGACTCAGATGAAGATGAGGAAAAGGGGGCTGTCGTTCCCCCAGTTCATGACATTTACAGAGCGAGGCAGCAGAAGCGAATTCGGTGAAGCAGGCGCAGAACCTGCCTCTAAAAGAAAACTTCTCCAGGATTCCTTTTGCCTCTTAAGTCTATGTTGAAAAGAGACAATGCTTTGTTACAAGGTTCTTGGAAACAAAGTTGTATTGTCATTGGTGCCTCTATCATATGGTTCTTGAGAAAAACCAACCAACCTATGTGAATTTCAGGATTTGGAACAGACCTATGCTCGAAGCAAAATTAGGTTTTCGAAAATGTGAGAACAGTACGAAATAGCAGAACCACGTTCTGTTCCCTCTTCAAGGGTGTCTTGTACGTACCACTTGAAGACTTGTGAGTTTTCAACAGTTTTATTTTAAAAACTGGATGGCTTATGATTGTAAGGCATTTTATCACATTTTCTCAAAACAACAGTTCTTGGTTTGCTTATGTAGAGTCCTGCCTTATTGTTTGTTTTATTTATGGCAGAATGTACGGAGTCGGTTTTGTAGTTTAAAATTTTAAAACAATCCTTTAAAAAAATAAAAGGATCTCAAAAAAGTCATGTCGCCTGCTACTTTCACTCAGATTTTATTTAAAACAGCTACTTCCGTTATTCAGCCAATACTTGTTTAAAAATAAATGTCAACAATGTAAGGAAAAGTCACCTATTTACCATATATACACTTAACTGTATGTCCTTTACTGGTCTTTTTTGCTACTATTTGAAAACATGAGAGATCCATTTTTAAGAAACAAACATTTTAGAAATCCTCATATGAATGCATTTCCTCCAAATTAAATGAGGCGATTGAGGCATGTTCTCTTTCATCTCTTAAAAGCAATGTAAGTGTGGGAATTCCTTTAACTACTCACTGTCTTGCTCTCAGGTAAATACATTTCAAAAGGTGCTCAATGTTCAAGAACTTTTTTTCATGAGCTAAAACAAAGATAGCATTAAAGAAAAGTATAGCCAAGAACCAAAATCTAATTACAGTGAGCAAAAGTGTACCATGCAAACTAAGTCAGAATTAAGTTCTGCTCTTTGTTAGCAACACTGTCTTCTCTTGCTCACTTCTAGAAAACCAGACAGAAAACTAGTTAAGCCTAAGGATTGTGATTCAGAATAGAAGCTAAAAATAAGGGAGGAAATAAAGACGAGGCAAAGTATTAGGGCTACAGGCAATCTTACATCCTGGGCACACAATTTAGAATTTAAATTCAAGTGTGATTAAATATTAGCTTTGAATATTTCTATAAAACTTACAATGGAAAAAGGTTATCATCTTGGATCACTTTTTATATAAACTTACATGTAGCAAGGTTATATTTACACAAGTTGACAACAAGCATGTTTTCAGTGTTTTCCCAATAAAGCTGAGTAAAATCTCAAAGTCAGCTGGCTCAAATTCAGATTTTATCATCTCAGGTATCATTTTCAAGCAATGTGAGTCTTTTTTTTTAAATATCATAGTCATCAACAAAATGATCTGCAAGGCACAAGGAGTATCATATAGCAGAGACTTCAAAATATGGAGATACGGAATCTTTCTTGACATGCTACCTTTGGGTAGTGTTAAGAAAACAAAGTGGTTTCAAACACCTGTAATGGTCTGTAATAGTGTTTCCATAAATGACAAAACAAAGCCACATGAACATGCATGAAAAAGTGATCTTTTTTTTTTTTAAGTATTGTAATAAAGAGAACACATATACACACTCATACACACCCAACCCACCATGGTGAAATGTGCTCCTGAGCACTGTTAATGCCATTGTGTGTATTGCTCCTACTGCATTTATTTCTAAGATCTTTTCCCCCTAGAAATTATCTGACTTCTAAACTTAAAAAGGATTATTTCTTGCTAAGAAAAACATTTTCTAATGTTCTATCTGATATATATATATATTTTATGAATTTTTAGTTGTCTGTCTGAATGTATGATACTTCCTTGTGTAAACAGTTGAACAAGTAGCGTGATGTTAGAAATCTGAACTTACATTTAGAAATCAATGTGCAGACTCTCATGGATGGTACATAGAGCCAGTCCTACACGTCCAAGGACTCTCATATCCATATTGCTGGACCCAGAGAAATTACCAAAAGACATCCATATCTTTCCTCTTAATACAATGACAGCATCTCCCCACAACTCTAGAATTGGATACAAATTAAGGATCATAAATCCTTCCTAAACAAAAATCAAACTGGCCTTTAGCACTAAATTCCAAATGAGAAGTTTTATCTTTGTTGCCACACAAAGTAGAAGGTTATAGCTGCTTAGTAAATGTAAAACTGACCAAACTGTACCACTGAAAAAGAGTGAAAAAAATACCACTTTTGTCAGCATACTGACCTTGGACAAGAATTATTAATTTATTTGGTAATTTTATAATCCTCTATTAAGTACATACTGTACTTAATATGTAAAACTAAAAGTTCATTTACATGATAGTAAAATCATAATTACCATGTTCATAAGTTTTGGTTTCTACATTTCAATGCCCAAAGCAAACTTCATTAAAGTTGGTATTTCTTCCTTGACTGTGACATTCAGCAAGTGTTCTATTTTAGTAAATAAAAATTTCAGAAGTCTTGAAAGGTGATT